TTTCCTAATTCAACCTGAAATACACATCCCATCACTTGTTTAGTTTATTCTAATCAGGAAATGAGAAAAAATAAGTTGCAGTATATATGTGGATTTACTTTACAATGGGTTTACTTTAAGAGGGCTTTTTCTGTTTATAAACAATACTTTGATTTCTTTTTTAAAAAAATAAATCCCTACCCATAAATGGGGATTGTGATTTTTTTCTTTTTTTGAAGAAGCCATGGTAAACAATGTAGCTTGGCATTATTTAAATCTACAAGCTTTTGAATGGCATTTTCTTAGTTTAATAGCATTGTCATTTCATTTGTGCTTGTGCTGGCCATTCACAGTGACAACATCTACTAAAACATATTGCTGCATAGATTGCCACCATCAATATTGCTGCTAAAGGGTAATGTCAATGGAGCACGCTCAGAGTGTAACTGAATCGTTCACAAGGACAGGCAATGGCATATAACATGAAATCAGTGATTATGTTTTTGCCTTTTAATGCATAGTAAAAGCTCTATGCATTTAGAATTCTCATTCCATAATCCATTAAATTGTAAAGCACAACACAGTTATATAAAAATATCTCTTGTCTTTGCCATTTATCCCGCTGGCTGTGACTCTAGACTTGAAATTCCAGATTTTTTTTTCTTTTTCTGTATTTTGCACACTTCAAAGTAAAGAAAAATGTGTCATGAAATAGAAAATAAATTATAAAAATTTTCCAGCATTTAATTTTATGGTGATCTTTCTGCAGCAATCATTTTCTCCCTTACCTTTAAAATATTATGTGTGAGTGTCAAATGGGATCAAATGTAGGAGAATACAATTTCCAGAAGTAATTGAGGTCTTAATGAATATTTTTTATGTGAGATCAATTTGAAACAAATATTGCATTGTAAAGGGAAAATTTATGGCTGTTTGCTATGAGGTAAAAAATACAGTCCTTAGGTATCCAATGCAGTTAGTTTTCTATATCTATGGCTAAATTTTGCTTAGCTTATCAGTTAGTGAATGAACTCTAACTATTTCTAAAAAAAATCATTTATACCTGCAAAGAAAATTAGATATCACTGCCATTAAAATAAGGTATCAATATTCATTATGTGTCAACATTTTGTAGAGAGTTTGTATTGTGTGTATGAAGGAGAAAGGGTCAGACAGGAGATAATAAGGGGAAGAAAGAAGGGGAAAAAATGCAAACTGAGCATTGGATGATAATGATGGCTAGAGAAGGGCTATGCTGGAGAAGATTAAAGTGGGAGGCAGAAGGATTCAGTATATATTTATGTTTATTATTATTAAATGTGTTTGCTGTCCATCTCACTTTGAAATGACTATGCACATTATAAGAAAACATTCAAAAGAGGGAAAGCAGGCTATGGTGGGAATGTGGGACAAATGAAGAGGGATAAACAAGGGAGCTTTATCAGTCCTATTAATCCACAGTCGTTGTCTGATCAGCCATAATTTCCCTGGCCCCAAAATATGTAGGGAATTGCTTAAAGTGAGCAAAAGTGATACTGAATGAAGCCAGCATTACTGAACAATCAAATCCTTCAAAGATGGGCTGTTGGATCTGGACAAAAATCCAGACATCCACCAGAGTTACACATAAGAGAATCAGTAGAACTATATACCTACACAGTAACTGAAGTCATACATTATGTTAACTCGTAATTTATTTAGTTATGGCTTGCTAAGTATGTATCATTTCAGTAATTTGTATAACACACTAAGACATGGTTTATAGCCTATTAGGACTAGGGTTTAAACTCCACAGGACAATCTAAACCAAACAAACAATACTAAGATATAGAGTGATGTGCCAAATAATACAAATGGATGAACAACTTTTAGACCTTAAGTCTCTTCTTTTGGTTCTATATCTTTAAAGCAGATTGAGATTAATTCCACTAATTTATTTTGTTTATCTAAGTCTTGCATTTCTTCTGTTATCTCTTGAACTCTGGTTGCCTTTCTACTCCTAATTGTTCTGGTATTAGTAATTGCTGGGTTTGACCTCTAGCATTGCTTAGTAATTTAGAATTTGGTGCCTTTCTTTCCCCCTTTAATTGCAGGTCAAAAAGAACAGTTAAGTTGGGGAGACAGTTGACAAATTCAAGCTCTTCCTACTCTGAGATAAGAATCCACTTAGTAAATTATGACTGTATGAATCTAAAAGATAACACATTTTGTACTGTTAACTCAAACAGTCACACTGATGATGTGCTTGTGCATTCAGTTAGCGAAACTATTCAAGGAAACTCTGTGTGTGAAGTTCATTTATCATACACACAAAAATCTGGCATAGGATGACATATGGGAGCCACTGGATACATACAAAGGGAATGAGAAATGCATATCTGGTTCTAGTTTTCATTTAGATTAGTAACAGACTTCACAGACTTTGAGCACACATGATCATAGTCACCAACAGTAGCAAGCAAATGATCAAGCTGTAGGGTAGTTCAGAGGTAGATCTTCAAAGTGTTGGACATTGCCTTAAAATTGATTGGGGGGGGATAGTTTGAACCATAACAACATAAAGGCATGATAGACTATGCTTTTTTTGGTTTGGTAGCTTTAACCAATCTATTTTAATTAATCCACTGTTTACTTATTTGTGGGAATAGAGTGAAGTCTGTTTATGTATACAGCTTCTAAAATTATCTTGGATCATTGGAATGCTTGTTAACAGAGTTCAGATCTGGCCCTAGAATGGAAACAGCACTCTGGTAGATAACTAATGTCAGGCTGTAAAGTGTGGATCATACTTCTCTTTCATCTCTACCTGGTCTACCTGCAAAGATTGGAACTCAAAAATATCATTTTATGTTGTTCTGCTCCTAACTTGATGGACAGTTCCAATCTAGTAGTATGAAAGGAACAAGGAATATGTGGCAGAAGTCTGATGAAAGAATAATAGACTCTGTTTACTTTCTTAAGTTTGAGTTGTGAATAGAACATTTAACTCAGGGAAATTAAAATATAATATGCTGAAGCTTGTGGGCTTTGATAATTGTTTACGATATGTTCTTGACATTTGAACAAAGAACTGGGAAATTGGAAGTTCCTCTGAACTTCCACCACATAAACCACTACAAAAAGATCGGTCCTGAAAACAGTGATCTTGCCTGATAAATAAGCTATATAGTTTTTATTGTTTGGGGAGATAGGAGAACTACTTGCATATTGAATGACTAAGTCCATATGTTCTCTAGAAAGTTGCTTGTCTTTGTAGTCTATAAAGAGATCAGTTAAAGGAACAAAATATGTGATATAATAAAATTGGCTGGGAAAAGGCTTATTTAATGACAAGAGACTTGAAGAAAAAATATTTCTCTAGGGCTCTGGAAGGAATATCCACAAATGTGATTTCTCTGCTTTCTGCTTGTCATAGTTTTCGTCAAAGAAGTGAATCAGTACACTCTTCAAATGGCTAGTATTTATAATGGAGATTTTCACACTAATTTAGAATCATGTGGTCTAAACAAAGATTCTAATGGTTTATTCAGTCACAATCATTTAATCATTAAAAAACTTTGGAGAAATATAAATCAGTTTTTCTTCAACGAATACATTTGATGCCATCTAATTTTTATTTCCCTTGTAAGCAACAGTAGTAGCTAAGTTTTTAAAATCCACACTCCATTCACTTTAATTAGAGATGCCTTTACAAATTTGAATATTTGAATAAAAGTTTTAAAGACTAGCTTGGGCAACATACTGTTCTGTGCAAAATGTGTAAAACTTACACATCTCCTCAACTACTATAAAATATTTTCTTTGTCTCTCTGATTAGATAAAAATAAGCTACAGTAGCCACTCTCCTTAGGACTGAATGATTTTGCTCTGTACATAATGAATGGTTGGTTTGCTCTTGCCTCATTCTGGTCATTCATTCGGAAGGACAAGTCAAGCTGCGCCTTCTGCCAAGTTTTGACACAACTATCTATCCTTCAGTAATGATTATCTCTGACTTATTTGCTGTCAATGAACCATATAACGTTATTATCTTTCTTCTGAGTCCTTTGGACTTGCAGTTGATTATTTAAAAATAAAAAACTTAAGTTAAAACCGACATCTGATGAGTATCTGCACATATCTGTATAATTTACTTTAACATAGCAATGGTTTGACTTTTTTTGGGGGGGGGGTAAAGTCTTAATCTATTCTGCTGCCCATGACAACTTCCTGATGGTCTTTTATCAAAGTGATAATTAAATCCAAACCTGATTAGCATTAAAAAGGTCAGGTAAGATTGGCCAGGTGCCCTTTTTTATTAATATAATATTTCCCAAGTAGGTAGGAAACTTTAATGAAATATTGTGGTACATCCATAATCTTAACGCAGGATTGTTTCTACTCAAAATGCTAGCAAACCCTTTTTATCTTTCAGGATGTTATCAATTATAATTGGCTGAAGCCAGCTTATATTCTTCTTCCTCTCAATTTTTTAAAATTTCCTTTTCCAATGGAAATTCAGTATTTTGTGCTTACTAAATCTATTTGGTTTAGTAGACCTTAGATCTTTGTTTGGTAGGGTAGTCCAGAGCACACTAATAACCACTTCTGGATTGTTAGTAGCCCTTTTCAAAATATTTAAGACTAAGCTTTTCAAGACTAAACATTTTCCTAAAGCACTTCCCAAACATATTAGCTCCAATTCTGTGGCACTCATTCATGTTAGTTAATAAAGTAATTTAAATATATATTATATAATAATCAGTTATTCAATGCTCCAACTTACAGTGAGAGAGAAAATGGAATATGGCAGTGGTGGCGAATCTATGGCACGCATGCGGCATTCAGAGTCCTTTCTGTGGGCACGCACACTGTTGCCCGAGCCCCACCTCTCCCCTCAGCCCCCTCCTCACCAGCAGCCCCCCCAGAGGAGAATTGCAGCACAGCCAAGGATATGGCAGCCAGGCAGCAAGGACAAGACTCCGCCCTCACGCCCCGTCATGCGGAGATGCTGCGAGGTGCAGGCGGAGAGCATGACCGCCATGGCGCTGCAGGGCCTCCTGGGCAATCTGTTGCAGTGGGCCATGGAGGCGGTGGGTGGCCCTGCGGGCAGGCAGGGCAAGGGCGGAACAGGAGGCAGAGTGGGGGCGGGCAGGGGGTGGGGCGGTTTTTGGACACTCAGTCTCTAAAAGGTTTGCCATCACTGGAATATGGTCTTCTTATCTTTTGTGCTGGTCCCTTTCCCTTATTGGGGAAGCAAAATGCATGTATTTTAAATTTTAAGCCAAGAGCTTCATGTTCTTTTCCCTCATAGTGTAAGCAAATTTATTACCTTCTCAAAGATCAGCAAATTCCTTCTGGGTGGTGTAGGATTTAAGTTTGCCTCTATTTGCCTGCTTTTTTTCTTTCCTCTGTTTTTTTTTTTTTTTTTACAATTTGTAGCTATAAATGGAGACACAGGAGCTGGATATTTCAGACGACAATCTCAATCATACTGTAACAGTTTATATCTCTAGCTGTCTTACTGTCCAGCAACAATTGCAACAGTGAGCTGAACAGAGTGTCTAACTTTTGTCAGCTATTCTCCAAATGCCATATTTAATTTAACATGCTTGGGATATGTTTCCCTTTTTGTACAGGATTTGGGTATGGGAATGGAGAATCATGGGGAAAATGAAAGAGACTGGATGGAGTATCTTAGAAGATATCCTGAACTCCACACCTTTAATTTCAGGTGTTTCTAGCTTATGATATAATGAGTTGTTATTAGTGGGATTTCAGTAAACAGCTGAAGTGGATTTGATGGATAGTTGGCTTGGTTCTTATACATATTATGTAAAGGTCCTTAAAATCATAACTTTGGCACAGAATTGCTATGACAAGGAAAATAGCTTTGTGTCTTCTGAATCTATAAGTTGACTAACATACATTGGTTCACCTTATAGTTTTAGTATATCTCTTTTAGTATATTGGCCCTCTTCCTCATAAAGTTCTGTTTAGGAAAATAAATCTTTTAGGAAAATCACAAACCCCACTAAAATGCAAATAATAAGTTTAGTTATCAAGGGAGATGAACTTGAAAAGCTGTTGAGAAACCCCCTTGCTCAAACCTCACCGGTTCGGAAAGCTGTTTTGCCTGTATGCCCATTCTCATTGCAAACTGCCGACTAATAATGCAGCGGGTGCATCCAGTATTTGGAGATACTGATGGAAAATGTCCATTTCTAATCTGAAATTGGAAAGCATACTTTTAGAATTGAGTGTAAAAAAAATGAATAATTAGTGAAAAAAATGACAGATGAGAAAGAGAAAATGACGTAGAAGAGAATGCCCTAGCTTGTGCCTTTAAAACTCCTTCTCTGCTCTGAATTAAACTCTTCTTTCTTATCATTTAATCTTTTTATAGAGAAGAGTCAAAGATGTGATATCGCCAATAGTCTTTGAAGCTACATACAGCCTTGGGAAACATATTGTGGAAAAAGAAGAAAAAGAATTACCTGCTCTCAAGCCTGTACTCCGATGGAAAAAAGGCCAGAAGATGTCACAGAGAAACCAGGTTAGAATTTGGATAGTCCTCTATAAAAAAAAACATCAATATTGGAAATAAACAATATTATCTTTTTCCCAAATGGAAAAAAAGATGAGATTCTCTTTTCTGAATGAACAGTCAAGTTGGCCATGCTGTAAAAGTCAGTAATTAGAATTATTTATTTATTTTAATAGTTTTTTTTATTCCACCTTTATTATTTTTATAAGTAACTCAAGGCAGCAAATATACACAATACTCTTTCCTATTTTTCCTGTAACAATAACCTTGTGAGGCGGGCTGGGCTGAGAGAATATGAGTGGCCAAAGATCATCCAGTTGACTTTTGTGCCTATGGTGGAACTAGAACTCAAAGCCTTCCGGTTTCTAGGCCAGCAGCTTCATCACTACACTAAACTGGCTCTCACCCCCCTGCATTTAGTAAGGAATGAACAGAAGCAGTGCTTTCATACAGTTTCTCCAGGTATTGTTTTCCACAGTGCTTTCACCTTATGTGACATAGTTGCAGAACTGCTGTTTACACTACTACTAGATCAGAATTCAAGACATAGGCTGAACACTGATATCATTCTGTTAAGAAAAGAGCTATCACTAGTAGAATAGACTCTTTTTTTTCACCCTGTATTGGATCTCTTCGAAAATATTTTGGGACTCTGGAGCAGTTTTGGAGCACGTATGGAGTAAGTGGGAATAGGAGCAGAGGGAGAGAAAATTCTGTTGGATTAGTAAGTACTCCATGTCTGCCAAAAAACTAAGCCACATTAACTCCAGTGGGACTTGCTTATATATTTATTATAATATTGTCCCTTCATTATTTATTATAGGATATTTGCCCTAATAAATTAATGAAACAATAAACCTGCACTTCATTATATATATCTGCAGTCTGGCCTCCTCAATGCTTTCAGCTTGTCCTTCCTCATTTAATATTTCATGGCAAATTTTTCTGTTCTAAAAAGCAATTAATTACAGCATGAATTATAATATAGAGAATTTCCCAGCCAATGCCTCCTTTGGTATTATGGCAATGAAATTTACCATACATTAGACAGAAGTCCTAGGGAAATAGGGTTTATTAGGATGGGGAGAATAACTGAAGAAATGACCAGAGAGCAGATAGGCTAAGGTGTAGACCAGTCTGGTTTTAATTCAAAGTAGTAATGCAGGTTGAACTAGGGAAGATAGTAATCAGTTTGACAGATACAGTGTTAGATCATTACCTTTTAGATAACAGATGAACAGCATACAGTTTTCAGAAGTTGTTAAATTACAGATCCTCGCTGCCCTTTCCTTTTTTTAGATCATCTGTGGCAAGTGAGAATCATATGATTAAATTTTGTGCTGAGCACATGATTTGTTCATTCAAAGAGAATCTCTGCTGTTCCCAATATGTCCCAAATATGAATTTTTCCTTTATTACGGGAAATGGCTTTCTCCTGTCCCTCCCTCTTTTGTCTAATTAGAAATATTCCTCCCCCCCCCTTTGGTTGGGTGGAATCTCTGATGCATTCAGTCTCATCCACATATATGTGCCAGGTTTAATGTGTTGGAATTCAGTGGCTGGGGTGAACCCCAAATTGGCACAGAATGGATGTTTTCCATACCAGGAAATCTAAAAATGATTCCACCCAGTATTATGATACAATATGATTGATCTTAGTTTTTGGGACTGGCTGTTCTTACCAGGCCAGTATGTGGGAGAGAAAAAAAGTACTGAGTTGGTTGGAATTAGTTTAGAGCTTAATTTTTATTATCTTTATCTGTATATATAGTTGAAAGATCTGCAATTATTTTATTTAACTAAATGGTTGTAATTATGCTGCTGTTATTTTTATGTTGAATAGCAGGAAAAGATTTCAAATGTTTGCAGTTTGTTCCTTTAAACTGCTGGAAAGCAGTGATCTTTTGCTTCCAAGTGGATTGGCTGCAGTTCCCCAATTTGGAAACAGGGGTTTGCTCCTGGAAATCTGTATAGGTTTAGGGAGGAAAACCGCCCTAAAGCTCTACCTCCAAAGACCATTGCCATATTATATGGAAGAGCATATCCTTTCTGTTTCAAGAGCTACACTTGGATGTAAAATGAAAGATACCTGTTCCTCAAAATAGTCAGGAGAGCTAGGGGAAAAAATAACTTATTTTCACTTGCATATATAGTTAATTAAAACTGAACTTAAAGTACATGAATACTTACTTTTTTGCCTCCTTTGAAGCCTCAAAGCATTTGGAAGATGCATTGGCCCCAATAATCTCAGGCTGTGCACCTTTAGTCTAAAGCAATGTTGCTCAAGCTTGGCTACTTTAAGACATTCATTCTGGCTAGGAAATTGTGGGAGTCCATCCACTTAAGGTTGCCAAGTCTGAGAAACAATGGTCTGAAATCTTACAGTCAATCATGGCCTAAGCTTTTGAGGAAGTAGAAAGCTCTTTCCTCAAAAAGTTGATGAGAAGAGACTACTATTCTTTCTTTCCTGTAGAAATTGTCTTTTGTCTTGAATGTTTTTTCAATATTGCATCTTACCCCACTGTGCTTTTTAACACTGACATTGCTGCTAGTTATGGAAGTTTGGAGGACATTAGCACTGTTATAAATCTTATTGTTCTAAAATAGATGAACAATTCTCATTAAATGAATCCATTAAATTTGATAGACATTTTTAAGATCTTATGTTAGCATCACTCTGCTGTTTGTTAAAATAGCGTGACTCTTTTCAGTCTTTTGTTGTTGTTGTTAAAAAAAATCACATTTGATTCACTAAGGTTAGTGTAGCCTTTAAATTAGTAGTATGCTACCTTAAACAAATAGTAATAATAAAAAATTTCCATCCCTGACTATTACTGTTCTTTTTATAGACTAAAGATATTCACCAGTCATTGTCCCAGATCTCCAGGCAAGAAAATATTCCAAAATTCATCATTGGTTATAATATATTGAATACATGCATATACTGTCAGCAAAGATCAGAGCCATTAGATTTCACTTTTAAATGAATGGTAATTTCTTGTTACATCCTTGCTTGGTTAGTTTAAACTATGGTTAACAAAGAAGATATAATTATATATCATAGTTTTATCTAAGCTTGATTATATAATTATATTAACAGGGCCTTCTCTGATCTTCGATACCATAGGAAATTGATTAGTCTGAAGTGTAAATGAATGTTTCCGGTTGCCTCCTTGCCAAACCAGAAAACATGAAGGGAATTCATAAGCATAGAGAGATAGCAGGAAAGTTCTCATTTAGGGACCAGAATTGGGACTGGCAATTCAGTTGTTAAGCAAAACAGTTGCTAAGTGAATCCATGATTTTGCTTATGACCTTATTTGCTTTGCTGTGAAAATTGTGAATGCAAGGATAAAGTTATTTTTTTAATCATCATCGTAACTGAACAGTTGCTAAACAAGGAATACCTGTAAATTGTAGTTTTGCATTGTATTACAGAACATTCAGTTCAGATTGCTCAAACACGATAACTCCAGCATACCATCAAACTTCTGTAAAATAAAGTAATATTGGTCTAGATGTGTAAGGTACTTTAATTTAATGGATTAGATCCACAATTATTATACTTTGCCTATATGTTTTGGTACAGCTATAAGAGAAACAGAAATAACTTTCCCAAAAGGAGGAATTTATTCTGTGTTATAACTTAATTTAATTAAATTTAATTAATTTTTAATGTAATCCCCCTCCCTGCCCACTACTATAATAACTGTGGCAACTTAGTTTTTGCTTGGAGCATTGTGTTTACTAATATCTATGGCAAATCTTGACCCCCTAAAAATGAAGTCCAAAATCTCAGAATAATATATCTGGTCTGTTTTATGTATTCTGGCCATTTTTAATGCTACGGTACATACTATATATATATGTTATGATTTATTTCTATACCACAAAGTAGAACCCATTTAATTTGACATTGAATCGGCTTCATACCAACCTACTTAGGCTCAAAGATTGCAACTTCTTTTGTCCACCAACTCTTACGTTCAAAGGGCTTTGAATTTGGAGCCCTTGCATCCTGGAACTGTTTCACAACATGGGTTTCCCATTGATGTGGAATTAAATATTTTCCTGCCGTCAAAGGAATTTCACAGCTGTTCTAAGCCCCATGCCCCTTACACCAACACGTCTGTTTTCTTTAATAGCAAGAATGCTTTTTTACATTTATAGCTACTAAGGAATTTGCTTTTATTTGCCAGGACATTCAGTGGAAATACTCTTCCAGTTATTTTACACAAGTATATATAATTTAAGCCTGGGAAATATTCAGGAATGTTAATTAGTTATCATCAATGAGATGGCATCAGGTTCTTTCACTGGAATTCATGGGATTTTGTTAAAGGATTTCATAAATAGTCCAGGGCTTACATATAGTGAAAGGCAGTTGGTTTTTTGCATTGCAATAATGGAACATTAGGGGGGAAAAACCCTTCCTTTTTTGAGAAAGGCCAAAGAATGGCATGTACAGAGCCTCAGGGTTGATCCATTCTAAAAAAATGCTTCTTTATAAACTGCACATTTTAAGATCTCCTCTTCTAGTCTGATGATGTGTTATGGTTAAATTACCTTGCATTTTAATATTTTTATATGGTGATATCAGCAAAATTTGGCATTTTTCAGTAGGTTTTCACATGTTGAACTACATCTCACATTTTTCCCCTTCTTTGAATTGTGTCCAATTATCAGAGACTACCTGGACATGTTCCTGTAATTTTCTTAGTGAGATTTTCAGAAATGGTTAGCCATTGCCTTCTTCTTAGGGCTGAGAGAAAGTGACTGGCCAAAAGTTACCCAAGGCAAGTTGCTTTGTGCCAAAGATGGGATTAGAGCTCACAACTCTTTTGGTTTCTAGTTTGATGTTTTAACCATTACACCAAATTGGCTCTCATACAGTACTTCCATCTCAAATTACTTCCATCTAGATTCTGTCTTAAGACTATGAGAATAGCTTTCAGCATGGAACTTTTTACTTCTCAGTTTTTTGCTGTAATCAGCTTAGGGAGATGTTCTTTTGCTCACTGTTTGACTATATTTGAATTGGGTCAATAAAAGTATTACCTAGTCTTAGATAGAACATTTTCGTTTTTGTGTAGTTTGGATAAAGTTTTAATATCCAGTGAGATATGAAATAATTAGTATTTATTATAGAGAAAGCTGCTTTCTATCAAATTAGATCTTTGACTCATCTGCCTTAGTATTTTCCATGGTGATGGGCAACAATTTCTGGTGTTAGAGAAAGGGTTTTTTTTCTTCTTCTTTCTTTTCCCCAGCACTGCCTGAAGATATTGTGACAGACGTCAACCATTTTTTTCTAGGGCTGGGTGCCCTTTTAAAAAGAGATTTTATCTAAATCTTTTTCCTACTCTACTATTATTATTTTTTCTGACTTCTTTTAGACTATTTTTGAAAGAAATTGTCAGTCTGATGATTGTGCTGCTGACCTGAAGCTCCACGGTAAACTCTTCCTATCTAGGTAAGTAGCCCTTTTTTCAATTAAAAATGACTTAGTTTGTGAGACATTGGACTGTAAAAAGAAAATTCACAATTGTAAAGTTTTAAGATAATCATGTCAGATTGAAGGTTACAGGTGAGTAAGCAAGAATGGTCAGAGACAAGAAATTCTTCAGAACTGTGGACAGATCCCAGCAAAGCTGTAAGCTGTTCCAACATATTTTGACTGATAATTGGACTCCACTTCCTAGCTAGAAGATCAAAATCTCTAAAGAGACCAATCTCTTGATTAGCAGATTTGGCAAGTGAGATTTTTGGCAAGGATGTTGATTCCTCCATGTAATCTGGCTCGGGGGGTCTGCAATTCCTAGCCCACATGGTCAGAGGATTTCAGGTTCAAATTCCTAAGCTGATTCTATAAAAGTCCAGATATGGAAATGCACAGCTAGTGTTATTGCCTCATAGCCAATTTAAAAAGTGACCATTGATTATTTTTTTAAACCAATAAAATTGCATTTTATTCATCTTACAATCAAGTGGACAAATGGAAAAAAAATGCACCCCTCCCCATTCATACTAGTATGTATGTATGTATGTATGTATGTATGTATGTATGTACACATGCACATGCACACAAACAAATTTTAAATTCATAGATATGGAGATTCACAAAGATGACTTTGGAGATATTAAACTGAAGTGATAGTTGGAAAAAACTTGAATTAAGCCTGGGAAACAGAAAATTTAAGGAATATCAGCCTGACTTTTTCCTAATTCATTAGTGTATAAGAGAAAGGAAGAGAAAAACTTAGTCAGGTTTTCTGTTACTATATCAAAAATATAGTTCCTTTCAGACTAATGGAATCTTTTTCCTGATGTAGCCAGTTTTGAAGAGCTGTCATTAAATCTGTACTATTCTAAAATGAATTGGGCAGATTGTTTGTTCCCCTAATTTTGTTATTTTTTCTTAAAGCTTTTTCTCATTTTTAGCTATATAGTTGTATCATGCCATTTTATTTTCCAAAGCAAATGAATACAAATTCATTCTGTAACAGTTTCAATCATATCAACCAACTTTGCTTGCATTTAATAACCAAATGTTAAATGTTAGAGGAGAAACTTTGGTAATGTGTTATTGATCAGGGGACAGGAATGGGTGATTTACTGTAAATAGTTCCTTCTAATGCTTTGAATCTGTGTAAGGTGGAATACAGCCCCCCAAAAATCCCAATAACTTTTTTAAAAAAGCAAGCAAGAAAAGTGAAGGAGGGCAGGGACTGCTCTTAGGCAAAATAGGCAGGTGACTCCTAGCAGTGCAGCTGAAGAGGAAATCCAGCCCTGTGGACTATACAGATATAACAGAACTCCATGCAGTGCCATGGGAACCAGAACAGCTTGATGGGCAGCAATAATGGAAAAAGCAGAGAAGTTTAGGGTAGCTGTATTTCCTCCCACTCCTTGTATGGAAGAGGCGGAAAGACCGTCCCTGACCTGGACGAGGCTATTGATTTAAAAGAGCCAAAGAGATATAATGGTTAAACAATAACCTAGGATTGGGAAGATCCAAGTTCAATCCACCTCAGCTTTGAAAATTCACAGAGTGATTTTGGGCCAGTTGCTCTCCCTCAGCTCAGCATACCTCACAGAGTTGTTACTGTGTGTGTGTGTGGGTGAGTGGGTGTTGTGTGATGAAAGATCCCCATGTAAATATCCTTGAGCTGATTTCCACTGGGTGGAGGGAACAATTGCTTTTTTTCTGACCAGTTATGTTGTGCATTATGAATTTATTTAGTTTAACTATATTTCCATAGCAAAGATCTATTTGTTTCAATTGTATAGTACTTTTATACAAACCTTCTGGAGCAGCTTACCATTATGTTTATAACTTAAAGGATATAATATATAGGGAAAATAGGTTAACAAGGGATGATAAGAAAATGTGGAGCTTTGAAAAAAAATCAGCTGCCCATTAATAACAAAAGCAATATTATTAAAATGTAGAAAGCAGAAATGATGCAGTAATTAATATTAGACCATTCTCAAAATTCAAACTGCCAAAGAACATGATGGGATTTTGTTATGGAAAAAATTAAATGGTTAATATTGATGTGTATTTCGTTCTTAATGCTGTTTTTCTTTTGTTCTGGATATCTGAACAAAGTTTATAATTTTGGCCCTGTTGAATTGGATCTACTTGATTTTATTCTCTACTGCAGCCTTCCCCAGTCTGGTGGTCTCAAGATGTCCTGAATTGCAACTTCCTTCATATCCTGTCTTACAGCTATTTGGCTGTGGGTTGGTCAGAAGGTCTCCAGGTTTGGGGGGAAGCCATTTTATTGCTTCTCCAAATAAGCAAATGATTGAAGCTTTTTTTCAACACAATAGGGAGCAGAAGGTATCTGAGGTTCATTTTCCCATGTGAGTCCCCACATAAATACCTGTCCAGGGATCTCAAATCGGGAGTTACAAGGGGAAAAATGTAATGGAATCCATTTTTGGATTCAAGCAGGCAAAGCCTCAAATCTTGAACTATTAAAAATTTATCATCATCATCTTAGCCATTGTCTATCCACTACAGGATGAAGGCCTCTTCCGCATATTTCCAACCAATATGGTCCTAAGCTTTCTTTTGCCAATTGGGCCCGCAATACTTGCTGATGTCATCAATCCATCTTGTTTTAGGTCTCTTCCATGGATACTTTTTATCATTCTGTGACTGCCTTGGTACACCTGCCAACAGTTCTTCTTGCTATGTGACCAGCCCATTTCCATTTCAACTCTTTTACTCTCTTCACGATATTGTATACTTTCGTTTGTTCTCTAATTCATCTGCAGGTCTTTCTATCTTGTCTTGTGATGCCAAACATGTATCTTTCCATGGTTCTTTGCACCACTCGTAACTTTTGTATCAATTGTGAGGTTAGTGTCCATGCTTCACTGGCATAAATTACTATGTACTATATAATAGCAGAGCAGAATAGCCTTTTCCTTGATTAAATAAGAGTACTCTGAGTGCAAAACTCTGAAGAAAATTATGAAGATAGGAGAAACCGTCTGTTAAGATAAAAGGATATCATAATGACCACCTTGACCATAAAGGAAGTTTCTTGGATTCATTGCCTTTGCTTTGATAAGGCTTTGCTCTGAGATGAAATGCTGCTCTGCCAAATTATCTAGTTGAAAAATGGTCTGGTGCCTCTGTTTGTACAAACTGTGTAATTCAGATATGATATTCAGAGAATGGTTGGTATGAATATATGCATATAAGACCAATATCGTTTTTACCTTATACTAGAACTGATCATTCTAAGGAATCCAGATTTTCTTCTAACAGAATTTAGTGAGTCATTCGGGGTATTTAGAATAAGTTTATAAATAGAATTTGCAGTATTAATGTCTGATTTGTTACTAAGAATTATTTCTATCACCTTTTGAATTTATTATGTCTAACTCATAGAGGAAAAGAATGAACTATGGGTAAACTGATCTAGTGAAGATTTCAGTGGAAGAATATGTAAATAACTACCTATTGTATAAAAAGTCCAAATTCTTCTTATTTGCTAAAAACATAGAAATGCTTTTAACTCTTTACTAAGTTCATTGAAATTGCACCTTGTTACCTTTGGAGAAATTTCATTCACCAGTTTTGTAAAATATTTGCTAAGAATATCACATAGAGAAATCCTAACAAAGTTTTTAAAATGGGAGTTTTTAAGAAGAGACTGGACAGCCATTTGTCCGAAATGGTGTAGAGTTTCCTGCCTGAGCAGGGGGTTGGACTCGATGACCTCCAAGGTCCCTTCCAACTTTATTATTATTATTATTATTATTATTATTATTATTATTATTATTATTATTATTATTATTATTATTATATGGTTAAAAATGGGATTTTGAGCAAATTGGTTGCTTCAAGCTTATTGTCTCTTTTCCATTTTTTAAATGATAAATCTTTCTGGAAATCCCATTCATCATTTTATTGTATTCTGTAATAATTCACCATTGAAGATGGCACCACTCAAGGAAAATAAAACAAGTGGGTCCAAGGAAAAAGATATACATTCTAGGCTTTGAATAATAAGCATTCTATCTCTGTAGTATAAGATTTACATAGAGGAATTTTCAACTCTTCAAAAAAGTCAGTCCTGCTCAGCTGATACATCACAAGGTTATCCCATTTGATAAAAGCCAGAACAGTGTTACTGCACAGTTGTATTTGGTTGGTGGTATGTAAATGTGACCTCATAGTTTTAATTTTAAGTACCTGTCTAAAGTTAGTTTACTACCTTTATATGGAGTCATCTTGTAGGAAAACTGCATGAATTTTTTTTTTAAATTATCTAGTGAACTGAAATAGAAGGATTCCTATTTGGAAATCCTTAAAAAACAGGGTGTTTTGTTTTTTTTACTATAGATGTTTGGCCTTGGTCTATTGTATTCTTAACATAATTCATTTTCTACTAGGCAGGAAATTCTTTATTACATCCAACAGTAAACTTTCTTGGATTATGTTCAAATATCATCGTCTGTTCTTGATTGGCATACAGTTTGATCTCTTCTACCATATCCATTTTCCCAACTATCCTAATCTGTTTTATATTTTGTTATTTTGTTATATATATAGCAAAACTCACTGCATGGGAATGGGCTAGGAGAATTGTACTTGGAATTAATATTTACAATGAATTTACAATATAAAGCTTGTGATAGAAACCTAAGAAGTTTACATATTTGTAGCAGCTTTCAGTGAAGATTGTTGTCTTAATTAAGTGTGGGGCTGGGATTGCAGAAGAGGAAAATTCCAGTATGGGCTGAGCTAGATCACGAGAGTGTAGATCTGTGGTGGCGAGCCTATGGCACGTGTGCCACAGATGGCACGCAGAGCCCTCTCTGTGGGGACATGCGCCATCGCCCCAGTCCTAGGCCTTCAGCTGGGTTTTATAAAACCTTTTTGCTTTAGGCCTCCACTGCCATGTGCCCCCCCAAAAAAGGTTCAATCAATCAATCAATTTCAACTTCTCG